ACGAGAAATCTGTCGAATTTATTTGATCTCATTCTGGTGGTAACCGTATCAACCATTGTCGTGCTTTATGAACAGCCGTCGATACGATGGTTGATACGGTTACCATCAGAATGAGATCAGATTTATTTGATAAATATTAAATTTGATCTCATTCCGGTGGTAACTGTATCAACCATCGTATCGACGGCTGTTCATAAAGCACGACAATGGTTGATACGGTTACCACCAGAATGAGATCAAATAAATTCGACAGATTTCTCGTTCAGATTGTTTAGTTGGAAGACAAGAAAATGTGGATTCCTTATCAGAATGAGCAGTCTGACCTATTTGGTGATGCTTTATGAACATCCAGTGATACGATCTAATGACCTTTGTTAAAATAATGGACTGGAATTAACCAAGCAATCAAAGGGGTCGATTCCAGTTTGGTCAAAATAATCACAAACATTTGGATTCGAGCGGAGAAACTAACTACAGTAGTCCCCCCCATCATCTTATGCATGCTACGTATCTTGTGATGTGTGCATTTCAATGTCAGAAATACGTAAGCAATCGCATTTGATTCAAAGGAATCGGTTTTATTCGAGAGAAACTCGGTCTCAATAGAATTTACTCATTGGGTTATTGTGGGCTTAGACTGACTCCAGTCATACTAAGAATCATGCTCACATTCACGTCTGGGCATGGTGACCGACTTATCGATCCATCTTAGTGTGATTCGCTTCCTTACCGGGCCAGCACTTAGATTTATTTCACACACGTCTGAATCCAGACTGTGCCAAACAAATCATGGTACAATAATCTTTATGAAAAAAGATAGATGACATCTTGAAATAGAAGACCTTTTCGGTGAGCGCCATACAGATCCAGTTACCATGGTATCCAATTTAGTTCTTCATCTCACTGATTGTACGAGATGTCTCCTTTTTACGCCACCCATGGGATATCACTCGGAGTTTAACCAGTAAGGTCATTCCATCAAAAGCTTTACCGTTCATAAAACCAAAATCTCCGCATCACTTACCTGCACTCAATGACCGTGCAATATCAGATTAGTCAACAGGCTGTCTTAACTAGAACCCTTAAAATTTTCAATTTAGGCGTATGCTGTGACTTCGAAACACGCAAACATGACCCCAATTCAAATATCACCACAATATCCAGACGCAACCTTATTCTCACGTTTCACTCTCTGTGTCAGGTGATTTAGCATCCGAAGCTCACGGTGCTGCTAGTGCTGGAATCACACTAAGTGCCAAGGCTGAATGCTTACTTCTTGACTGTATTCCAGTTAGCAGCCGACTGCGCTGTACGTCTCTACGGCCCTTCACGGGTCAACAGCTACAGAACGAAGCGTTGGTGCCTATTCATCGTACCCATGTATGCATCAACCGACTGTAGTACACTTGAGCTTAGGGATGGATTCTACAAGGATCTTTCTCAAATGCACCAAAGTGCTTGGTCAGCGGACACCGCTGGAGACTTCGATGCTCAAGTCGGATACCTCGACGAATGATAAATGTACCCAGATTGGGATACAGAGAATAGAGAAAGAGACGTAACTGTCAGAATAGAAGATTGCGAATGAATGGAATAACAATTTTTTGTATTTCACCGTACACTTTTTCAATTTTTTTGTTGTTTGTTGTTTTTACAGCAGCATTCGCGCCACTGATTTCTATTCCGAGCCATATCTCTCAGTGTCTCTAACCAACGACAATCCTCATCCCTTGGGCCCCAGCCTAGAATGCGGGTTGCACCAACCGAAGCCAAAGCTGAAGCTAACCTCTTCATACCTCTACGCTATGTCATGGTCTGACCATCGCGGCACGTGCAAAGAGAGTACAGAAAGGTAGTCGATGGGCAGGCATACGCAAAACGTGACCAATCCATCGGAGGTGTAGAGCGATTACTTCTGTTAGGTAACGACTAGTCACACCCAGCACACGACGACGGACCTCGTCATTGCTCACCCGATGTTCCCACCAGACACGAGCAATGCTTCGGAGACATCGGTGGTCGAAGCAGAATTCACCGATCGCCTCACAGTTCATCCAAGCACCGAAAGACCCTATGAACAGTGGTGCTAATCAAGGGCGTTATCCAAACTTCAACCAAAACAACAACGGATTACATCGACGACAGGCTGCGGCTATCGGTAATAGTCGCAATCTTTTCATCTAACTAGGAGTACGGATCCAAGGAAATTAGGTGTGGGGTAATTGTGGAGTCTGATGGAACACCGATTCATCATCAGAAACGCCGTCCTGAACGTTGGACAGAGCATTTTAAGGCACAGTTCAACTGACCCCCGTCGAAACAAGACCTCCCTATACATACTTCAACTGAACGAATGCCACCAGTTGACGTCAGTTCTCTATCTGAAATGTAGGTTACCCAGGAGGTAAATTACCTCAAAAGGTATAAGGCTTCTAGCTCGGACGGGCTGTCCCCATCGATTTTTAAGGATGAAGGTTTAACCCTAGTTTTGGAGTTAACGAAACTCCTGGGCTTCGTACGGGAGAGGGAAGTGGTTTCAACGGAGTGGTGTGAATCGGTGATCATAGCGATTTACAAGATAGGTGACAGATCCCCTTGTGGAAACCACAGGTGTAGTTTGATCAACTTCTCGCTTGCATCACACTCCGTCGATTGTCTGCCGCAGGTTAAAGGTGCACGCGTGAGAATCAGGCTGGTTGTTGTTTCACTCTTCGCTAAATTCCAGAACATAGACACTCATTATGCAAAAGTACCACCTCTATCTTCTTTGCTTTGAAAGCGGCCTTCAGTTCAGTCGACCGCTCCATACTCTGGCGCCGTCCCTCTTTGAAGGATGTGCCAGAGTCGATTTCAACTTCGTGGTAGTGGCCTGGTGGTAAAATAAAAAAATTATCACCCCGGAGGACGTGTTCGATTCCCCACC